AAAAAACTAGATATGAATTATAGCGATGTTGTTGCTATTTAATAAATTTAAAAAAATTAAAAATAATATTTTAAAAATATTAACTAAGAAATAATAATAAAAAAATAATAAGCTTACATTATAAAAAAAAAAATACAATTCAATATAATATATTGTAAAAAATAATATATCACGATGTTTATGTATACCAATTTACTATGTCTACATACCTAGTATAATATATTATGTTTAGTCGTTCAGTAACAGTCACATGTATTTATACTTATATTGTATTGTTCTGTACTATAGTCTATAGTGTTAATACGTCAGTTTTATTTTTTGTTTGTTTTGTAGAAATTATTTCATATTGCACGTTACCACGTAAATATACAGTTTATAATAATGATAGGTACATAATAATAATAACAATAATAATAGTAACAGTAGTAATCAGCGAAATTTGTAGTACCGTTTTTCGCGTAGTGAAAAATACATAATACAATATTATTAACACACATATACAGACGTGAATGAATTATAAAATATAAAATATGATCTAAATTACTTTCACTAGCATCCAAACTATTTACACACGTAAAAATGTCTATTATCTTACGGGAGGGGTGTAATAAGTAAAAGAAGACGATAAAACATTAATTATTATTTATTATTGAACAAACGTACGAGTAAAAATTCCACCGTTGGTAAATATAATACAATTTTTTCACCAAATAGGACCTGGTGTCTAGACCGTATACTAGTTATCGTATACTATAGAGAATCCGCTTATTTAAAAAATATAAAGTAAAAAAATTAATTTAAATTTCTTTCAAATAAGTATCATCATTTATCATTATCAAATCGTCGGTCATAAATTTGAATAATTTTGAAAATGTTTCCAATAATTTTAAATGTACAAGTGTAATATTTCATATCCACAATGCATTATTATCTGTTTCGTGAAATGGATAATGATTGCATCCAAGCATCGAAATGGAACCGCGGTTTCTCTATTTCACGTATCAAAACAATAATATTATTGATAAAATTTTACAAAATAGATACCTAACGTATTCAGTTATTTGGGTATTAATATAGTGATGTGGACATTACGTATTAAAATCTATCTATATAGAAAATAAAAAACGAATTTCATTATTCACAACTTATTTTATTTGACGGTTCATTATAATTAGTTTGATAAATTTAATATTATTACTAAACACCCGTACAATTTTTTTTTTACAACAGTCTGTTCTATTAAAGATTGAACGCAGACTGAGCTACTGGTCATTGTCTGACCCTCAGGCAATAGCTATGCGTTCTGTGATTGATAGACAGTAATTTTTTGTAGCGAGATACTAGAACAAGACGAGTTTTGGTCAGCCGAATAATTCAATCTTGAATGGAATAGAATATATTATTATTATCATTATTTTATTTTTACAAAATTTTAAAATTATAATTACTTTAAAATACTTTGATAGGCTTAATAGACTATAGAGTGAAATTTTCTTACAGTTAACGGCATATTCAATAATGGTGGTGTAGATTTATTTTGGGTTTTACAGTATATTCAATGATAATGGTAACATAAAAATATTTTAAATGTATGAACTTGAAGTTCTTTATTTTAACTTAATCCTCTCTTTTTGATTTCAAAATTGAGTAACATATTTTTCAAACAATTTTGACGTACTAAATAGTTTTTATCTCAAAATTAACTGGTTGTCGTCAGTTGTCGATAGAAAGAAAATTATTCTTTCTACAATTTATGTGGACATTAAATTTGTAAAGAGGTAGACTGTTAAAATGCAATAAAGATGTACATGTATTAATCGTACATTAGCTCACTCTCATTCATTCAATTTTTAAGAAAAAATAATAACTTCATAATTCAAAGTTGTTTTACAAAAAATAATTTAATTCAAATAGAAACTAAAAATGAGGGAAGGGGAATACAATTAGAAACATTTTTTATTGTGCATACACTAGAAAATAAGGTTAATAATTTGATTTTTTCAAAAATTATTTTAATAATAAGTAAAAAAAAAATCAATAAAATTCAAGGTCATTCGTTGTATATTAATTTTTATCGTTGATCACACTACGTACATGTTAAAATTAGATAATTATGTAACAAACTAATATTATTATTTTTATTCTGATCGTATACAAAAATATATTCGCAAATGTATATTCTGAGGTAAATATAAAAAAATGGTTATTAGGCTGTGAAAGAAGGTGCTGAAGTTTTAAAGCTCTCTTTTTAAGATTTTGAGAGTGAGGTACCCGGAACTACAAATGTTGACTAAAAATTGAATGTGATGTGTTAAAGTCGAGATTTTTTAACGAGCTAAATAACAGATTAATTACACTTTTGTCGACATTTGATATTATACCTACGTGTTATATGTAGGGCAAACGTTATCGACTCTATATTGTTATGTGTAACAGATTGTTATAAGTTTTAAGAATCTATGTATGGAAATTCATACTTCGCTGTCAGTGTTGACATGCGATAAAACGACAGATCGAAAATAGGTATAGTTTTGGGTCAATAAAACGAACGATTTGTATAATATACATAGGTACTATATTTATTATACACATGACATACGTTAAGCGAGGTGTTATTAAGAAGCAGATAGAATTGAGCTGATTGGACACCGAATGATAACATATTATAAATTATAATAACAACAACCGTACATCTGGCTCTCTATTAAACCCTTTCGCGAGTGTTTAACGTATGTATAATGTATACACACACACACACACGTGCACATTAAAACGAATATAAAATCGTTCGAATTGATTACAAGTTGTCAGCTACTATTTATGTTTGTACCTCGTCGTGACATTGTGGCATGCAAAAAAAAAAATACAGTTAATTGAATTGGATACGAACGGGTGCTTTGGACGAACCTATACACACACACACACACATAAATATATAAATATATATATATATATATATTTAGTGGGTTTATATTTAATATTATTATCATTAGAGAAGAACCGGATGCGGACAATGGGTGCGGGGACCGCAATGAAAAGTCCATCGTGGTCTGTAAATTATATTATATCCGTATAATATAATATGTGTGTGTATTCTACATGTTGTTATAGATATAGTTAATTATTTATTGGGGCTATACCGCGCACTGGTGTGTGTGTGTGTGTGTGTGAAAATATCATTGAGTACCACTTTCTATTTTTTCCATCGTCGTCTCATCTTCGTCGGTTTCCTTGTTCTTCGTTTATGCCGTCTGTGACAGATGGACAATGATAAAAATAGACAATATCGCACGAAAAAATTAATTTGTCAAACCCGACACACTGCTGAGGGACTCTCACTGTTAACTATAGAAATTTGGTCGGTCGGTCGACCAATCGGTCAGACGAAGACAACAAATGAAATGGAATGTAAAATGTGACATCTATTTTAGAATAGCACGATGATATTACTGGGTGATTTCCATTTTTATATTCTTCCACTACTGCAATGGTATTATATTACAATTGAGATCCTTTTTTTACAAGGACGCAAATTTTATCCAATGCGTTGTATATAATAATATATAGTGTCGTTGCTAATCGAATTTATTCTCAGCGAACGGCTACGGCCGGCCTCTATAGTCTAGTTCGTGTTTTGTGTTTTGCGTATACTATTTCTCGTCGAGAAAATTTGGTCTCATTTAGAATTCTATGATTTATAATCTGAGTATAGCAGTTAAAAACTACAATGTGTAATGCACGAGAATGAGTTAAATTCTTGTCTTTGGTTCAAAATTAAATAATAAACCGTTGTGTTAAAGTTTAATAATATATACCCTATTCTAAATGTCTAAGAATACTTTTAAATATCTATTGATGTTGAATAATGCTATACTTTCGTAACGACCACACAGTTATGCTAGGTTAATGTTAAACTAATTTAATAATTATGAAAATTCGTTTTTGTGAAAGCGTCAAATCAATAGATCAATCTTTAAGCGTAATTCATTTCTGTGGTAAACATAATTCGATAATAGTATCTTAAATGAAATTGCTAAACGATATTTCAGTTATACCTAGATATATAATATTATAAATACGTAATACAGATTTACTATGTTCTATAAATGCGCGATGTGAATACATTTCAGATATCGCGGAAATCTACATAACGTATAATTAAAAAAATATGCTCTCTAAATTATTGCCATCATAATTTGTTTAAACTAAATTATTAATTACTATTTGTATTATTGTATTGTTTTTAAAATGTTTTTTTTTTTTTTTTTTATCATACATATGATTTTAATTAATATAATCATGAGTAGGTATACCTACAATTATTAAAATTCAACTTTTTTATTAATTTTTTAATTATTAATACGTCAGTACATCATCAGAAAATACTTTCATTTTAATCATTTTTGTTTTAAACGAGATAGAAAACCAGTAAAATATAATTATACCATATTTTCGTTTTTATATTATTAAAAAAAGTTAAAAGCAATATATACACAAATAAATGTATTTATTTGTTTGAAAACATGTTTAAGGAAATGAAGACAGTCATTATTAGATGGAAGGTAATATTAATGATCTCACAAAATGATCAACCGGTTCTATGGGTCAAAGTAGTCAAATAAAACGTTTTCACCGGCCAATAACGCGTTGAATAGGTCGTTATGTTTTACCGAAAAATAAATGTGAATATCTTATGGCTAGTTTGGTTATACACTTAACTATGGTTGTTACTGTTATATTTTGCTGTATGTCTGTATTTAATATAAAAGATGTCGAACAGACAAAAATGATTTAAAAATCAACATTTAAACTAAAAAAACTGAGAATTTAATATATGTAAACTAATAATGAATAAGATTTAGAAAACTTATAAAACGTGCTTAAAAATAAGATTAAACATGTAAACTAATATTTAATGACGACGTGTTTTACGGCGTGGGCGTTTTGACATGTGTTTTGACGGTTGTTAAAGTCTCTTCTTATGAATTTTTATTACACAGGTACTGGCTGCAGTGATAGTGGCTGGCGTGCAATGTTCCAATCACGAGGCCGAAAAACGGGTCATGCACAACAACAATGACAGTACTATGCGGATAAAAGCGCAATCCCGGATATCTATGTCAAAAGGTGGTGGATACGGTGCTAGAGTCCAGATCCGCGAGGATAATCATGGACGGAAGCACGCGCATGCAATGGCCATTTGTGATTGTAATGGACAGGGTGAGTACAAACATGGTGTGATAAGGTGTAGATTCGATTTTATAGGATGATCACACATCGTAAAAATCAAAATCAGTACGTTTAATTAATACATACCTTATGTTTCAATGCTTGTGGAAACCGGTTAGAAATAATCATTTGGAGTAAATATTTTTACACGAATTGTAATACTATCCATGTTATTAAGTCATCCGTGTTCCGAGACGTCGGCGTCGGCGAGAACGACTTTTTTTAAACACAAGAAATATTCTTCATGTGTACTACTATAGTAATAAATCATTGTTGAAATATTTGTCAGAGAATATTAGTATTTAGCTTAAATTTAATTAATCACATAAATTGTTCAATTATTTTTGAATAATTTTCAGAAACTTAAAAAAAAAAAATAAAATAAAATATATTCTCAATCATCAAACAAAATTCACTTTATGAAACATTTGTCCAGAAATTAATAGTTTTTATACAGGATCAATTATACTTTGCCAATATTTGGGTTTGAGATTATAAAGAATATTATTATTATTGTTATTATATATTATCCAATATTATTATCAACAAAAGACGAGAAACTTATATTTGTTTGATTTCTGTTTTCAATAAAAACGAAAAAAATATTAATACTATATTATTAAGGGATACTCATATTATAATATATGCTAAATTTTTCGATTATTTTTTCTATTTATTTATGTGTTTTTATTTTTTGCGTAATCATTGTATGCCATCATCAGGAGTCAACCCTGTTTTTAAATCGAAGTCTTAGTCTTTTTTAAGTTCAACTCTTATGTCATGGTTTCTAGTTATAACTATATATATATAAATAAATCATAAGCATGTAATATATATTTAAATATTTACTTGATAATATTATTGTACGGATAAATGCAGCCATCGGTCCGTGCGCGTCATCAATTAATATCGTTAATTAAACGTCAAGACGTGTGCAGACTACTGGAATAGGTATTGATACTCGTACATTGCAGTTTCGTACAACTTTATACAGTGCTATTCTTTTTTTTTTTTTAACATTTATTTGAATATATACAATTTGTAATAGTAGTTACAATAAGCATATGAGCAGAACAGTACATGTTGACTTTGAAATCATGAGGAGAGTAGCTACCCAGCAGTAACACTCGACGTGATATTTGTTAGACTATTTTAAATTATATACATATACATGTGTTAGCGTTTTTTTTTTATATAAATACTATATAGTTGCGGGTATTCGTTTAGTATGTGACCTACCGTTAAGGTGTTCGTTTTGCATGCCTGACCTACCGGGCTGATAATTAATTTAAAAACATTCAAATTAAAAATTATATAATATTAGGTTATTTTATTATTACAGATTATGGATTACATTCAATATCAGTCAAAATTAATTTAAAAACATTCAAATTAAAAATTATATAATATTAGGTTATTTTATTATTACAGAATATCAGTACAATCCATGTATCAGTTCCATGCATTTTTCGTATGATTTTAGTTTTTAATACTCCTCATGAAATATGAACATTCAATTGCTTGTGTATGAGCTCCAGTAGTTGGATCAACAACATTTTTTGAATGGTTTACTGTTTTATGATCATAGCCTATATTTTTTAAACAAGAATATGCTCTCCATTCATAAAATATAGTAATACAGGTAGGTCACATACTAAATTCGATTTTCGATCGGTAGGTCACATACTAAACGAATACCTAGTTGCGCTATTCTAGAGTCATAGTAAATGGATTTTTTCATCAACGTTCAAAGTATATACACCCATTTTATACTCATTTACATAAATAGAAGTTAAAACATATTATATTTTGACCTTTACCTATTTATGCTAAGATACTAACAAATTATTATTATACGTATATATTATTATATTATTATTCCTTCATAAAGGACGTGTACAGTGAAAGTTTGAGTTTATCGACAATTGGTGGTAAAATATGACGTGTATCCAGAAAACCTACCAATAATATAGTACGGGTTATAATATTCTGCACGAACGTTTTCTTTTGAATATTTTGAGACGAGACTCTGACCGACACCCGCGTAAGATTGTCGCTCCGGGGGACGGATGCGTGTGCGTCGGCGGCGAATTGGGTGCATTATAATATTATGCAGAGGATTTGACCTGCTTAAAACGGCAAAGCGCTTATTGTCTAGAGGAACTTTGCATCATTTTTTCACTAAAGTATCACGACACCTAATAATTGCTATATAAATGTGTACCAAAATTGGTATTTTGTAGAAAAATTGTATTGTGTATATATACTGTACATACAAGCCGCGCCCATAGGATGAGATTCTATTATCTGCTGGAACAGAATCAAATTTGAAAAGCGAAATTAGTTTAAGTAGATTTGAATTAGGTATTTTGGTATATATATTAAGACATATCTAGATCTTATAAATTAAAACATAGCAAACCTTGTATAATAATGGACATTTTTTTATTTTTTTTTCCTTTTCTATGGAATGCGGGTCTCTTTTAGTGTATCTTATGTGTTCGAGTCATAAAACCATTGAATGTTATAATAAAATTATTACAGAGGAATTTTTCCAAAGACCTGTCCAGAGTAATTGATATTAGATTATCCCGAAATAGACAAGTTTTATATTAACGATATCGAATCGAATTAGAAATTTGGCGACGACGAAAGACATTTAATTGCCTCAAATTGTGTCTAACATAATTGCTTAGGTCTGCGCACGTAGTAAAGCATGCGTGTACACCATGGTGTACCACAAAGTGATGTTATTTCGATGTCCGAATGGTTTTTTTTTTTCTATTAAACATATAGTACTAAATCGTTAATTCCGACGGACAAACGAGTAAACGGCGCAGTGTGACTTTATAGGTTTATAAATCGTAAGTGACGAACACTTGTGCAATATTATGCGCGTTTTAACGTCTGTAAAAAAAAAGTAAGCGTACGGTTCGAACGGATATTTCCTACTGAAAATAATGATCGGATAGATTGCAGATCGACGATCATATATTACATTAACGCCTGTATAATAAATGCGGTGTGCAACGTATTTGGTGTTAAATAAAAAACGGCTTTGGAACTCGTGTGGGTAACGTCGTATAATAGTAGGTATACACGCCGGAATTGAATCGCGTGAAATACAACGTCGAAATGACAGTCATGATATTAATACGACTATATATAGTACTTTTTATAGGTACGTTTATGTATATATACATATTATCAATGTGTTTTTAATATGCACACAAACATACATTATAAATTAATCTATAGAGGTTACAGGTTTGTGGTGCGTATTTACTACACAACTATAAAATATGGTTTAATATTTTGTGAATACATTGACACACGTCGACAACACGACGCCTATCGTACTTATATACATAAAGTTTGTACTTATATACTACATATTATACCGTATATACACTATATATATGTATTAAATTTATAAGTGCGTTTATCATTTATATTTTTATAATATGATGTATTGATATGCGTTATAATATTTTTTCGTTACGCATTTATCGACCGCCGTCGATTGCTGAATGTACACGGCGAGATAAACGTTGCAGACTGCAGCGATGAAAACTATGAAAATTAAGTTAAAGCTTAAAAAAGAAAAACATCAACAAAAACAAGTCGTAAGCAGCTTCAGGAACGCAAACTAATGGGGTACAATATTATAATTTATAATATTATACACTTAAAAGATGTCAACGAATATTCGCGTGCAACAGTAGCTGATGAGTGAGTCAATGTTGTAACAATATAATATATTATAATAATTTCGATGGAATGGATCTTTTTTTCTATTTCGGAGGCTCTTGGTGTGTTCGATTAATTTAATGTGATGTAAATACGTTACTTATTGAAACGTTTAGAAAAAAAAGTGATTCCGCGCACGCCGATGAGTTTCGTCGTTGCGGTCTATCAGTCTCTACTCTCTATAGATCTGTCCATAAATTAAACCGTGTCGAGAATTTTAAGAAAAAAGAAAAAAATAGATATCTATATTATTAATTATTGCTTTGCTCGGTATAAAATATAATAATATGGATGAAACAGGAGGATCAAACTTAAAATTAAATTATTATACAAGAACGTGTATTTTATAAAACTATAGAACTAATATTAATAAATTTGTAAATATTAATATTTTGTATTAAGAAGGATATTGTTTTTTATTGATTTACAGTGTGTTTATGGTACCTAAATTACAGACTATACAATGATTTTAATACCGATTTGATAACTATACGTAGTTGGCTTTTAGAATATGTGGTTTAGGTACTAGCTAGGTTATAAGACTTTAATTTTACAACTAAGAAAGATAACTATTTTATAAAATTATTAAATACTTTATTTAATTAATATTTAAAATGTCTTAATAATTGGGTTTTTATAAATGTCTAACGGAACGTTTAAAGAATATTTAAATATTATATAGCTAGTAAAACGACGAGAACCATTCGGAATAGTATTTCCAATACATTAGTAAGTAATTACATTCAAATCTTAAACGTATAATCGTAATTTTTATCATGTACCAATGTTAACTAAATTATTTTCCAATAGTTGTATTGACTATCTACGACCTTAACTGCTATTAAATTTGTCTATCAATTTTGAGTTTTTATTTTAGAATCGTCAATATTATTTAATCAGGATTCATTGAAAACAATAGTATGTACTTATACCTATACTGTAAAATGTGTTAACAATTGAGTTTTTTATGATTATATAACAGAAGAACATTTAGTGTTTAGCTAAGTATATATATATATATATAAATGTTTATATTAATTTTGAAAGTATCGTAGGTATATATAGGTTTATTATATAAGATTTATAAGATTTTGGGAATTGTTGTTATTATAGACCGTTCATAGGCTTATATTTTTTTGTGTTCCGTCCAAATTCGCAATTGGGATTTGACAGAAAAAATGAGAGTTTACGCGTTTTAGACGATTTCAGTTTAATGATTGCAATTCTTGAAAAACAATTGA